TAAGTTTAAACTTACGAAAATTGTTGGTAATTAAAAAATTACATCTCCCCTGAAAGTATTTTATTATCTTTTTATTTTATTATTTAATAATTCCAATATTTTTTTTCATTTAACCTCAGACCATGATTTTCGATATAATGGATAATATGCACATTTATGTTATTTGAATTAAGAAGAGGTTTTAACTCCAGAAAGCCATCATCTGGAATTACAAGAACAAGAACAACAAACAAACAAACATGACGAATCATTAGCTGAAAAATACAGATTAAAAACCAATATAATATTATGCGATAATAAAATAAATAAATACAAATTAAAAAAAAATTAATACAGGCACGTTCTGACAAAACATATTTATTATCATACGTTTTCGGCGAATGTCTTGTCAGGCTTAGTTTAATTGTTTTCAATATTGTATGAATACGGAGCCCCATTACCTAGTACTTTGGATTCCTAGTCGAAAGTTGCAGGTTTGAGGTTTGTATCCTTCAGCGAGACATTTACCCCTACTGCTCCAATCTGTCCAGCTGTATAGGGGTATCAGCGAGTAAGTTGTGGGTTAACCTGCGATGGATTGGCATCAACCAATCTAAGAGGCGTGTGTTATAATTATCATCCGCCTTTTCCCCAGGAAATCGGCTTTATATATTATTCGAAGCGCGAAAAGGATTAAGTAGCATCTCAGGTCCATTAACAAAGCCGGATTGACTTCTATGAAGACAAAGCTCACAAACAGCTTTCTCTTTCGAAAATTAATAAAGAAACCCCTACCAAAACAGTATCTGAAATTCTGGACACTAAACGAGTTGATTCTTTTGTAGTGCTGCGACCAAGTGGCGAATTTTCGCAGTTTTGAAAACCTAAACCAGCATGATCGTCAAGTAGAAGAGATACGAGTTAGGGTGGAAAATAATAGCATTTAAACAGCATGATTGTTTCTTAGTTTAAATCTGCGAACCAGAATGAAATTTTCAAAGTGAAATACTTCTTGAGTAGTTCTTAAAGTCAGTTTTTCAGAATTTACTTCTCTAAATAAAAGATCAACTCGAGAAACGACACCTGACAGCAGGATGTAAAAAACAGAAAAACAACCAAAGATACAGATATCTGATAGAGAAAAACAAATGATTAATTAACTAGCATAAGATGCTCAAGCATTGCTGCGGGGTTCAAAGGCCTTCTCATAGAGGCCCCGGTGTATGAATCAAGCTCCTCCATTATCCCCAATTAGTTCGATAGCTGTCCCGTTAGGACACCTGCCCGTGGTACCTGAGCACGTGTGCCAAGTTTGGTTCCGTCAGTTTGTGAGTGAGGTTTTGAACACAGTTTCAAAGCGCCTCAAGCCCAAAATCTGATACCAGATTCTGGTTCAGCAACCCTGAAAACCAACTACCAAACCCTATGATGCCTTGGTGGTATACCGGGGGCGTTTTAGCTTCTCTTTTTGAGGGGGGTGGGTGGGTCCACGCTACGTAAAAACCTCCTGGGCCACCCTAAGTTCACTTGCCGTGTTTAGTCTTGCTAGCTCCAGAACTGTGGGAAGAGTTCACAAATAAACAAATTCACACACAACGTGATTAAATAGAGGATAAGGGCAAATACAGACACAGAAAGGTATGAGGAGGTAGATTGTTTGTAGAAGGTAGACGAAATGATATACACAGACACAAGTGACTGGATATGTTTATATGAACATAAGACGGCTTGACTAACATTTGACCAATATTAAAGTTCATGTCTATGTTAACAGATAAGTATCTCCAGTCACTGTTTACAAATATACAAATATTCCGTGGTTCTAATTAGCTAAACCAACACAGGAGGTTTCCTAGTGTGCAGTTTACCACAAAATGTGCACCTCTAAAAATATTTGAGCAGTTGAAGATTCACCTATATAAATAAGTCCAAGAGGATAAATATAAAAAAAAAAACATATTTAAGATTATAAAATTCCATTTCTGAGTTGATAAATAAATGTATTTACTAGAATATTCTTCATTTTTTGGACCACTTGTTACTAGGCCTATATATATGAGGTGCAATAAGGCGTCATGTATTCTTCATTTTTTGGACCACTTGTTACTAGGCCTATATATATGAGGTGCAATAAGGCGTCATGTATTAAAAAATGATGAAGTTAAAGTATAATTGTGCAGTTGGAAAAAATCCTTAGGAAACACTCTGAACCAACATTTGGCTCATAAGTTATATTAGCGTTTATGTCCGAGTTGGCGAGTGTGATGATCTAAGAACGTTGATTAAATACGTACATGTTTTCCAGATAAACAAACACTCAGGCCATCTCTAAAAAAACATGACCACACAGCTTCAAAGTAAGTTGCGGAAATTTGTTATATTTAAGCTGTATTAAATTTACCATATGGTGCAAAAAAAAAAAAAAAAAAAAAAGCTTGAGCAGTACTGCAGTTTCTACTTTTCACAAACTCAAATAATTCATCAAAAATAAAATAACGTTACGTAAGAAATCTATAGATCAATCTATCTATCTGCGTCAATGACAAGATATTTTCAAGTTTTTCTTTCAATATTTTTTCCTACATTTCAAACACGTAAATTTTGTGGCCATCTCTCGTCCTTATGCCCTCTATACATTCACGACAGAATTCCCTAAACCACGTTGTGTACAGACTTCTACGTATCAAATTAATTCTGAAACTACGTTCAAAGTGTACTTACCTTGCCATTGCGACTTCGGTATAGAGTTCACATGCACCGACGAACGGACTTCCTTATTTACATGTCTTACACTGGCGGTAGTTAAATCTTAATAAACCCAACTTCTTGAAACTGCAATTAAGGTTAAATTCACCTCAAAATCAGCATGAGTGTGTAGGACCAGTCTGCGTGCTACAGTAAAATATGTACCAACGAATTTACAACTTACAAGTTTTGTATATTGGAAGTAGGTTTGTCGTCCACCTTGGTACGTCTGATACACACATATTCCAAACACGCAGCTTACCGGCAGACACGCGTGTATACTTGCCTGTGACGCAATCGGTGCTTTTCTACCATTCTTAAGGACTTTGTGGTGTATATACCGCAGCCCGACTGACTTTGTAAAACAGCACAACTGATGACTATAAAACTTTTTTTTATTCCGTCATTACCTATCACATAGTTAGCATATACATCATAATGTATTTAGTAGTAATCACCGGATAGAGATATGAATGGTGTTTACAGTTAGCGGTAAGTCTCAATTCTAAACTACAGTATAAAGCTACTTGTCACGTGCACGACCACTCGAGGCGAGACAAATGTAGTGGCCGCGCCACGCAACGTTATAAACTTTTTTCTTTTTCTTTTCTGGTTACTACCTTATCAAATGTGCAGTAATTTCCCGTCCGGAATCAAGGGAAGCGACAAAGTTGCGATTGTTTTTGCGTATTTTAAGTTTTGTTTCAGAAATCGTACAATATACCTTTAAACTGTACTGTAAATAAATAACTAGAGCCCACGATCTACGTCAAAAACTAGTCCTATTTGCTTTCTCTGTCTGCGTATATTGAGTGTCTGCGTGTATATACTGAGTGTATGTGGGGGTGAATAATATGAACTGTTTTATTTTAAATGTCTATGTATGGAAATGGAGAGAATATGAATGTATTTTAATTATTTGGGTGTGGATGTGGAGTGAATACGAATTATTCTAAGGATCTGCGTGCGCATGTTAAATAAATATGTATGTATTCTAAGTATCTGTGTGGATGTGAAGTAAATATGGATGTATCTGTATTTGAATATGGAATAAAAAATTAATGTATTTCATATGTCTGGTGTGTGGATATGGAGTGAACATAAATATATTTTGAACGTGTATGTTCACGTGATGTGAGGTGAATGTAGATATATTATTGTTTGTTTTGAATTTCGAGCAAAAGCTACACGAGGGCTATCTGCACTAGCCGTCCCTAATTTAGCAGTGTAAGACTAGAG